TGCCTGTTGTTAGTAGGTAGACGGACTGTATCAGGGAGGGAGTTAAAGGGTGTCTTCCTGGGGTGTTGGTAAGAACACAAGTTTAGGCTTCATTTCAACTTGACCTCTTCATTCTCAGGTGAACAGTAGTAGCAATACAGCAATGCACAGGGCACGGAGAACAATGATGCAGGGCTGAGCAATGAGTATTCGGCCCACTAAGTATTTCCCTGAGTTAACTGGGATGTGGATAAATGTGTGTGTGGTCAAAAGGCAAAGAAAGAATAATACAGGAAGAACAGATTAACATAAAATATATTCTGCCGCAGTTGTTCAAACTAACACAACAACATAGTAGGAGAAAAAACCCTAATCAGATCACTGTGGTCTGGACAACCCAGTCTACATGGCCACACCAGCTAAAACCCCTCTAGGTAAACTGCCAGGGTAGACATGCTACAAGGAGGAAATCTTGTGGCCATTTCAGGGATTTACCAATGCTCAAATATTCTGAGATTCTAGACCAAATTACCCACTTTTACAGCTATAAACCGCCTCACATCCAAAACTGTAACCTACACACATGCACAAAATGGGCAACAGGGACCTACACTCATACAATAAGGCAGTGCAGATTAATGACAGAACTATCAAGCATAACTATGACATGGGAATATGCCAGAACACCACGAGGCAAACACTTATTCCTAACACATTATGTAAGCAGGTCCAGTAAACAAAGGATTACTTACTTAGCAGTCATTCAAAGCTGATTTAACCTGGGAACTAGCTAAGTAAAACTTTCCTCCATTCTGCCGTCTTATGTGCTTCTCCACCTGCTCTGCTCGGTGGTCTCCTCTGCACTGTCGTCAGCTCTGCTCTGAGAGGGTGAGAGTGTGAGTCCGCGAGTGTGCCACTTGGTGGCCTTTCCAACACAGCCGCCCCCAAATTTCGAGTAAATTTGCCCCTGGAAAGGCCAACATACAGCAGTGGGTTAGTCTAGGAGTCAATCTTTAATCCGGAACCTCAGGTAGCACAACTAGGCGGGCGATGGGTCTTGTGTAGGTACGGTCTTGGATCTGTACTTCGGCGTTGCTTACTTTACCATCGGCGCCGTGGAAAACCTTGGACACTTCCAATTTGCCAGGCAGATCGGGGAAGCTGGATGTCCACTATCATGACAACGGTCCCTGCTTTGATGTTTGGTGCCAAACCCTGCCACTTCCCTCGGGTCTGTTGGCCGAGCAGGTAGTATTTTGTAAAGAATGACCAGAATCGCTCAGCCAGTACCTGCACATGTCGCCATCATCTTTTGCTTAAGAGCTCAGATGTGGGGTAAACAACATGGGGAAGGGAGGTGTCTGGCCGCCCCATCAAGAGGCAATTTGGGGTCACCGGGTCAAGATCTGACTGGTCTGATGAAACATATCCAAGGGGTTTGGAGTTTAAGATGGCTTCTATTTCGACTATGACAGTAGTCATAACCTCTTCCGTAATGGTCTCTGCTTCCAGGTTAGCGCATAGTGCTACCTTAACGGATTGGATCTCCCTTTCCCATACTCCTCTGAAATGCGGGGCAGCAGGGGGATTGTAGTTAAAGTGGATCTGCTTTTTAGCTAGAATGTCTTGCAGCTGTGGGTTGAGCTGGTTAAAGCTGTTCTCCAGTTCCTTCTGTCCCCCGTGGAAGTTGGTGCCATGGTCCGAATACAGTTCGAGTGGAGTGCCACGGCGGGCAATAAACTTTCTTAAGTCCAAAAGGAATGCATCACTGTCAATGGACGTGAGCACCTCCAAGTGAATGGCTCTAGTGGTGAGGCACTTGAATATCAAGCCCCATCGTTTCTCAATATGACACCCAATCTTGATGGTGAGGGGGCCAAAGCAGTCCAGTCCTTCTTTCATTCATTCCTTCTTTCGTTTATTGTCATCATGAGGCACAGGTGCACATGGGTTCAAAGGCCATTCTCTGCTGGGCTGCAGCAGGAAAGGAGGTCCCTGGAACCAATGGTTTGGTCCAAATAGGTCTTTCAACTTCTGGCCTCGAGTTAGGTCATCTGCAGGATTCTGTTGTGATCCTACATACCGCCGTGCCTCCGCCTTGGTCAGTTCCTGATTCTCGGCCACCTGTGTGCCGACAAACACCTTGAAATGGCAGGACTCAGAACGTAACCAGTGGAGGACTGTAGTAGTTTGTAGGGCAGCTCACAGCTCCAGTCTGGGTATGGATTGCTGCTTCCGTGGTGCCACACAGGATCTTGCTAGTAAGAATGAAATGTTAAAATATCCATCGGGTCTCACAGAGCGGAGGTAAGCTACAGACCCTTATGCTCTCTCTGATGCATCCAAGAATATATATACCTCATGGGTCACTTGGGGGTCATCCATGTTTGCAGGGGTGTAGCACCTTGGGATGGTTATTTGTGGCGCGATAGATGGTCCTTATGGTAAGGATGCTGCAGGAGACTGGTCTGTGCTGTGATCAGTGCTGCAGTTCCAACTTAATCCACAAAAATAAACAATCAATGGCTGTGTCTCAATTCAGGGTCTGCATCCTTCGAAGGACCCAGCCCATTCGGCCGACGTGGGCTGCGTCCTCCGTCGGCCGGGTAGACCGGATGTTAATGGCTGTGAATTTGGACAGGCCTAGCCTTCATGAACTCCCTCCGCGAACGTTCCGTCGCCTAGCAACCGTGGAACCGCTGGGCAGAAGGGAGAAGGAACTTTAAACGATGGAGCTCGACGTTTTATTTAGCTTTTTAACCCCCAGAGACCCAAATTTAGAAAACAACTGCAAAATCTTTTTTAACCTTTCACATGTTGTTCTAGGCCAGATAAACGGGCCTATTTACACATTTTAACAGTCAATAGTGTTGCAGAACTGAACAATAGGACCTATTAGCAATGTAAATGTAGTTTTAAAAAGAAAAAAATGGGGAAGGTTTATTCTTGTAGACTTAAATCTGATGTTGTAATGTTACAACCGTGGGTCTCTGGGGGTTAATCATTTCCTTGACTGTTGGAGAGCTAATTCAGAGAAAATACTTTAGACAAGCTGAGCCTGAGCAAAGATGTGATAATAGTTTTTAATACTTTCTAAGGGTCTTAATTTGACCAAAACCGATTTATCACCTTTTAAGACTTTAAGACCCAGCGGATACCCTGTAATATTGAACAATTCTCATTTGTAAACAAAAATAAAATTCAAGAGTTTAATGCAGAACTGATTTTATTTAGATATTTCTTTTATATGTACATGTTTAATCTTTATTAACCATTTTTTCTAGCAAAAATTGAGACCCAGCCAATGATGACCAGGGGTCTGCTTCTAGACCTGCAGAAAAGGGAGCTGTCAAAGTTCTTCCTTCTCTCCTGGGCCCTCTGCTGCTCTGCCTCCCTCTGCAGCCTCATGTCCTCCCTGATCAGATCCAGAAGCTGGTCATCGCTGTCACCTTCCCCTGGATGCCCATTTTCTCCAGAATAGTCTTAACAAACATGTAAGAAAAGAAACAGGAAGAGAAAAGAGGACAACGGGTTATTCCTTTCATGTTTTTGCAGAAAAAATAAACTCAAACGAGTTTTTAAAATATGAGATGTTATTGTACCTCCATGCCACAGCCGCCGAATACTTTGCTCCAGTGATCATGTGGTCCATCTCCGCCCTAAGCTTAATAAATTCCCTGGTTTTCTCTTTTGTTCCTAAAATACAAACTTCTATTAAAATCAGGGGGAAAACGTAGCGGGAGAAATACGACACCGAGCGCGGCCGAACATACGAGCCGAGACCGCAATACAAGCACTTTTACTGTAACATTTCTAACTAAAATAACGTTCATGTATCACAAAAAGTCCTTAACCTAACAGTTTTCAAGTTTATACTGACATTTATATGCACAATCCTCTCCGACAGCTCCCGCTTCACTGTCCGCCATTGTTTTTAGTTTTTCTGCTGGCCGGCCCGCAAGGCATCTTGGGAAATGCTACCTGTTGAAGGATACACCGGACCCATCCTTCATTCAGGCGAAAAGATGGCCGCATTCGTCGACCGCATTTGAAAGAGTCTTCGAATTGGGACAGGCCTAGTCGCGGCGCTGTGACGTAACCGGCCGACGAATCCGGCCGACGTAGGATGCAGACCCTGAATTGAGACACAGCCAATGATGACCAGGAGTCTGCTTCTAGACCTGCAGAAAAGGGACACACAACAATACAACAGGGGCAAGCTATCACTGCGTCAACTTGGTGAAGAAATATAAAATAACATTGTTTTACTGAACAATCACACGATAATAAATCACAGTGCATTAAGTGCCAACCACAGCCTTAAGACATGTGTTGAGCATGCCCAAGTCCATATTTATGAGAGCACCATGTGAGCACCTGTGTGTGTACATGCGCTTGTATATGTAAGGTTTCTTGGTCTGCCACAGATTTGCCCCCCAAAGATTTGTAGGAGATGGAGGGAGCTCCAAGTCCCAGAGATCCAGGAGCTGTCCCAGAGCACAGGGACCCCAGGGAGACTGCGACCAGATAAGCCCCTGCCCCCCTTGAGAGACACAGAGGATTGCCATGGGGGACCACAACCAGCAGCCCGCAGAGTACCGGGAGATATCAGCGGCAAGCCCACAGGCCCGCCCGCAGCCTCCCACCCCCTAGTCAGCCGAGCCCGAAACCTAGCGACCCAGGGACGACCACCCCCGCCGGGGACCCAGCATAGCCCAGGAACCCAAATCCCACCAGGCAGCCACCAGGATTGATCTGCACACAGACAGGTGGTGTGATCAGCTCTGAAAGGCGTTGATCACAGTTTGCAGATCACGTTTATTTTTCATGGAGATCGGCCATGGATTCCTCTTCCGTCTGCATTCAAGGAATCGAAAATCAAACTTTGAACGATTCCGGGAAAAATGAACAGTTGGAACCGGTTCCAATCGATGCTCGATGCCCAACCCTACTAATGGTATTAACACATTTTTTCAATCCATACCGCCATGCTTAAAGGATTATCCAGAACTGATGCACGCTACCAGGCAAGTACACAATCAAACTTGTCCCTGGGGCGCAAGGTGTACACCCAGCACGAAGACAACCTGCTGCACCAAAAGACAAAATAGTACAGAAACTGAGTGAGCTGGAGGTGAATGGCCATATAACCAAGGTCGAACAGCCCACAGACTGGGTCAGTTCAATGGTGGCAGTCACCTGGGGGGGCAAAGTGAGTATCTGTATTGACCCCAGTGATTTGAACAAAGTCATCAAAAGAGAACATTACCCCATGCACACTGTTGAGGTAGTATCTGCCATACCTGGTGCAAAGATTTTCTCAGTTTTGGATGCAAAATCTGAATTCCTTCAGATAGAACTGGATGAGCAGTCTTCATTCATCACAACCATAGGCTACCATTTGGACTAGCGTGCGCACCAGAAATATTTCAGCGCATAGTTGATGCACCTCTGCGTCAACTGTTAAAGATTGACGTGGAGTTTGTTTGGCAACCAGCTCAACAAAAGGCCTTTGACAAGCTACAAGACTTCCACTCAGTCCAACAGAAACTCCAGATCTTCCTTTTGAGCAAGTAGGTTCAGACATATTTGAGTGAGTCAAAACAATATTTGGTGCTAGTGGATTACTGCTCCAAATTCATTGAAGTGGATGAACTCAAAGAGCTGCTCAGTCAAACTGTCACTGAGACGCTGAAAGCTCAACTTAGCAGACATGGTATTCCATCCATCCTTCGGACTGACAATGGCTCGCAGTACACAGCAGAGGAGTTTAAAGGTTTTTGTGAGAGTTATGGTATTTCACACTGCACATCATCACCTCACACTCCTCACTCCAACGGAGAGGCTGAACGTGGTGTGCAGATAGTAAAAAGATTATGGAACAAAGCTCCGGACAAGCATCTAGCAGTGTTGGATTATCGTACAACACCCCTTGAGTCCGTCTCTTTGTCACAAGAGGGTACCAGTCAAACCAAGGTTGCAGTGCAGTACGTGACCAGGCGAGGCAGAGTGGTTAAACCAGCTGATAGACTTGATTTGTGATTTCTTTTAGCTTATTGTTTTGCAATTACATATTACCGTATTTTTCGGAGTATAAGTCGCACCAGCCATAAAATGTATAATGAAGAAGAAAAAAACATAAGTTGCACTGGACTATAAGTTGCATTTGGGGGGGGTTATTATTTTTCTTACAAAGTCTGAGACCAAGTACCAGTAACAATAACCGAATAAACAACCAGGGCGCAGCAGCTCGCCACGGTCTCCAACAAAGGATGGCAGTGTTTCAAACCCTCCCAGCGGGCGGGGAGAGCGCCCGCAGCACCCCGCCACAGGCTGCAGCAGGTGATGGCAGTGTTGGAAACCCTCCTAGCGGGGCAGAGGATCTGAAACCTGGACCAGAGCCTAGGGCTGTCACGGTAACCGCAAAAATGAAATACCGCAATATGAAGAAACCCACCGCGCTGCATCATGGGCCACCGCGATTACTGAACTTGATTCAACTCAATGATGCATGTTGAGAAGGATGGCTGCACTGGTATCAAAACGAAACGTTACTTCGCTCCTTTGGGAGCACTTTGGTTTTCAGTACGTCAGCTGCAGCGCAGCCAGAGTCCTTGGCCGAGAAAGAGCTGCAGCGGCAAAAATAAATAAACGCTCGGAGACCTGCTGAAGTCCCGGACAAGCACTGCTTCTGCAACCGTCCCGAAGAGAGTTTGAGCCGAGCTGGAGCTCACTCGCTACCTGCAGGAGGAATGCATCCACCCAAAGAAACCCCCCTGTCATGGTGGAGCAACAACCGGGAGAGATTCCCTTTGCTCGCCAGTCGCACGCAAGTACGTGTGTGTAAAGCCTGATTTAAGCTTGGTTTATGCTTGACGCATTCACTTTCCGCTCGGTGATGCGGCTCGCGGATGGAACGAGCTTCACAACTCGCAGCTTTTAGTGCAACGAGCGCACCATCCGAGAGGGTTTTCAGTGTTGCTGCAAATGTTTCCTCTCAGATCCTCTCTCAAACCGTATATGGTAACATGCTGGTTTTCCTTGTGGGTAACAAAGATGTGACCGAGCTATAAAGCACCGTCATTCGTGTGTGTGAAAGTGAAATGATAGTGCCCCGCGCCCGGCACATGTAATTTTTTATGCTTGATTTTAAACAACTAAACACAATGGGGACTTGTTTCTTATTTGTTAGATGCTGCAGCCAAATTTGCATTTAAAAGTTTAACCTTCTCCTGAACTTTGTTGTTTTTAAGTTCAGTCGGACTCCGACTGTCGGAGAAACAAACGTTACTGCGATCTGTGTTGTTACTGCCCTTTGATCTGCATTCAGTAAAGTGTTATAAAAGAAGGCACGGCAATTTTTAACCTTTTTTAAATGTGTAAACATTATATTTAGATAGTACTGCAATGAAAAGAAAATGCTGCAATAATATCGCACACCGCAATATTAAGCCACCCTGAATCACCGCAGGGGGAATTCCTCAACCGTGACAGCCCTACCGGAGCCGGCCCGCAGCAGCGTGCAATGGTCTCCAGCAGGTGATGGCTGGGCAAGGTAGCTCATTCCTGGTCCGGAGCCAGCCCGCAGTTGCGCGGTATACATAATTTGGTATATAAGTCACTTTGGTATATAAGTCGCAGGACCAGCCAGACAATGAAAAAAAATGTGCGATTTATAATCCGGAAAATACGGTAATTAAATAAATCTCAGTTTATATATTTCATGTTTTTGTTCTTGTCCATAAATATTTAAACATGCTTGAATTTAAAATGAGCTTTTAACAGTGAAGTGCTCATTTATTAATCACAATAGACCAAACCCTAACCATGATGAAAGGCTCAGAGGCTCTTTCTGGAATGGAAAGCTGACTCACAACTGCTTGCTTTCAGTTTCGTTTTGACTTGGAGGGTGGGTATCAAATTCCCCTTTCTGTTAGAGATAACGGTTTCCCCAGCCTTGGTCTACTGTCAGTTCTGTATCAGACACTTGGAGTAACTCCTCACCCTGAGCAGGTGACCATTTATACACATTTTATTTTGAAAGCTCTGGAGACATTTTCCTTTTTCTCTTTATTTGCCTAGTGACCATCATCTGATTTCCTCTCATTATTCCTGAGCTGTCTGCAAGTAGCAAGGTAAGACTATAACTGGACAAACTGCTCAAGATTCAATCTGTTTAAGAACATATAAAAAATAACAATAAACCTGAATTACAGCCAAATTGTAATAAATATGAAAAATGACCACAGGACCATGTGGACTTAACTGATATGTTCTGTTTGAAACACGACATCATTTAAATTGGTTTCTTTTTTATCATATATAATAGTGTAATTAGATTTCTTTTTACTTTACTTTTATATATTTTTAAGTTATTTTCCTTCTAAGACTAGAACATTGTTCATGGGCTGATCTGTCGTAAAATTATGGTTTAGCCTGTTGTAAATAATGTTTAGCCTGTAAACTGATGGATGTGGCATTGAGATTTTAAAAACAAATCAATACAATAATGTTTGTTATACCCAAAATCCATTTGTTATGGAAGAACTAATCAGATAATTTTTGGCTGCCAAGCCAGAAACCTCAAAATGTTCATTCACAACATCAAGAGCGAACCTTCATCCTGCCAACTGAGTGAAACTGAAACAGCAGCTAATGTGGTTAATGTTTGAGCAGTAACAACCTAAGTAAAGTCTCATCCTGACTGTTTTCCATGACCGTTAAAAGCTATTTGGTACAAAGGTCTTCAATGAAAATCCCTTTAGTATTTTCACGAGTGTAGAAATGCTGAAAATTCCCTGTTTGGTACTGAAAGTGAAACTATTTCCATTTCCTACAGGAAGAAAAGTCAAGATACCCAACATGAACTCCAGACTAACCAGCAACCAGCAGAAAACCATCTGCTCCCAGCTGGGAACTGTTAAACTCAAGCTGCTGTTTAAAGCTACTGTCTATGGTTTCACTGGTCCGGCCTTCTTGCAGCGGTGTAGCAGCCACTCCCCCACCGTGTCTGTGGGCTACAACGCTTCTGGCTTTGTGTTTGGAGGATTCACCCAACAACCTTTCACTCAGAGTGGACAGTTTGTGAATGATAACAAGGCCTTTCTGTTCACCTTCAGTGGAGAAAAACTAATTAAATATCCAGTCACAAATGCTGCACAAGCAGTGAAAATGGTCAATAACTGTGGTCCTCATTTTGGAAATGGAGCACTGATTCTTCTCAATGGAAACCAACCAGTGGTTCACACTAATCCAGGACAACATTACAACTTTAATGCTGCAGAAATGCATGGAAATGACCTTAATCTGATTGAGTGTGAGGTCTACCAGGTGGAGGGTATGTTATCTGTGAATAGTTGAAGGTTTCTGATATATAAATGTTTGCATTTTGTGTGCTAATGATATTTTCTCATCCACAGATGCTACACTATTTGAGAAGCCATGGAGAATGATGACCTGGCAACCACAGTAAGACGACCCAAACCTGCTAATATATATTAACAACTGCTGAGAAATTAACTCTGTACTGTTGGAAAATTTAAAAAAAATAATAATTGTATCAATAGTGTAAATATGAGGTCAGCATTGTCAGTACCACAGTCATGAGGCCACAGCATTGAATCCATTAAATATTTCAAAACTATTTTGGTATGCTGGTTAAAAAGAACATGGGTGGGGCTGATGGGCCAGTAGAATTCCCTTCATTGTCCATTATTGGCTTTTAAAGGTGCAATATGTTATAATTTGACATTTGAACTGTCTGAAAATGACTACAATTCCACATCTTGTTGATCATTTGTTACAAATGTAGCCACTCCTTAACGCTACAACAATCTGGTAAATCCATGATTTTTTTCATTGCCACATGTGTGGTCTCTTACTTTGGAAAAATTTCCAATGTAAAAATCCTGCTGTGTGAACCGGGCCTTAGATTATCATTGGTTGCTTTTGACACAAAAGAAACAAGAACAAGTGGAAATGACTTGGTTGAACATCTGGCCAGAAGGATAGGTGGGAGTAAAAGTGTCATTTATAATGTGAAGGATGCTCAGATAATGAAGGAAAAACCATAATTTTCTTCCATTTTTGACTGACTATCATGGCTACTTCTTAAAGGCTTTTATGCATTTTACTGAACCTTCCTTCTCAACACCCCCACCCTCCTCCCCAAAAACTTGTTTTACTAATTAAAACTTTTCTTCTATACAGGACTAAGAAGGAGCTGATGGAGAGCATTAAAACCTACAAACCCACAGTCAGTTCTGTGCCCCAGGCTCGGGTTCTGATGATCGGACCGGTCGGAGCTGGAAAGTCCAGCTTCTTTAACTCCATCAACTCTGTATTCAGAGGCCACGTCACCAACCAGGCCATATCTGGCTGTGCCTCCACCAGCCTCACCACACAGGTCTGTCTCTGCCTCACTACTACTTCAGGTTAGAACGTTCAACCCAAAAATACCAACCTTCACCACCATCTTCATGTTACTGCATCTTTTTCTACAGTTTCGAACCTACACTCTGAAGGCTGGACGAGAAGGCAAACCTCTGCCAATCATCTTGTGTGACACCATGGGACTGGAAGAAGGAAATGGGGCGGGGCTTAATGTAGACGACATCAGCAGCATCCTCAAAGGTCACATGCCTGACCGTCACCAGGTATGATATTTTATTTCAGGATGGAACAAGAGTTTCACCAGGTTCGTGTCAATCAAACCTTCTTTCTCTCAAACTTTGATACAGTTCAACTCAGCTGCTCCTCTGGATTCAGAAGCCCATGGCTATCGCAAGTCTCCAGAGCTCAAAGACAAGATCCACTGTGTGGTTTATGTCCTTGATGCCTGTAAGATCTCCATTTTACCCACAAAGATGGAGGAGAAGCTGAAAGCTATCCGCAACAAGGCCAACCTGCTGGGTCAGTAGAACAGCTGCAATGTAATGATATCACAGTCTAGAAACATGTCTATTATGTGGAAAATACAATGGTGCAGACCCAGTATGTTTTATTTATTTTCAATTATTTGCAGAAAAGCCCTCGTGATTGAGTTTTGGCAGCCCTTAACATTATTCATGGCTCAGTGGTGATCCTGTGGGGTATCCAGCAGCTGAACATCACATATCTGCTTTTATTACAAGATGATTTCTGCTTGTGTCTCCAGGAATCCCTCAGCTGATTTTACTCACTAAAATAGATGAAGCCTGCCCCCTGGTGGAAGAGGATTTGATGAACATTTATAGGAGCATCTACATTAAGGAAACGGTTAGGAATTTACTACGAAAAATTACCGTTGGTTTTATTTTGTTTATTAAACACTTTGCTCTCTGTAATCCAGATGCAGAAAATCTGCTCTCAGCTCGGTGTGCCGCTGTCCTGCGTTGCTCCGGTGAAGAACTACACCGAAGAGTGGGAGCTGGACTTGAACTGTGACATCCTGCTGCTCAGCGCCGTCAACCAGATGCTTCGCTTTGCTGATAACTACTTTGATGACATCAGTGACAAACTGGGAAACCTTCAAACCAAAGAATGAGTTTCAAGGGTAGATCCAACTAATAAACCACTGTTCTTTTCTAATTGCTGATGGGTTCCTATTATACAGTTTTTTTCAAGTTATTACAAAGTTTACATTATAAAATGGGCCATTTATTCACTTTTACATTTTTAGTAAGTTTACATATTTTGTTGGATTATTCAGCCAGACCTGTTATTACATGTGTTACAAGTGTCTCAAAGACACGTTTGACTTTTCTGTCATATTTTTAACTTTCTAATCAATTCATGTATTTTTTTGAACATATTTGTTTAAAGTGGTTTACATATCACAGTGTAATTGAGCACAACACATAGACACATTTATCAGAGAGGAGGAAGAGGGTGAAGCAGTCTTGGATCCTGGCAGGAAGTGGACCATGGACTGTGACATCACACGAGGGAGTGGGGTTGATCATAGTTGTCTTCTGTGGATGTTTGTGTAGAGGTTTCCTCTTTTTGTGGTGTTTACAGTTACTATATAGCTTTCTCATGGTTACTGGGCTTTTGGGATGGTATAATAAACTATTCTTCGGTGAAACTGATCCTGTGTTCTCTGGTTCTTGGTCCATCCGTTTGTTAATCAGCATGTATAGAGAATGGGGATTCTCCCCTAGAAAATTATGTTATTTCCTGCATTCTAGTGCCATCTGGAGGAACCGCCATAACAAAATGCCTCTGCTGCTACATTATCTCTCTGCTGCAAGTCACAAGATGCTTCCTTCAGAAGACAGTGCTCTTGATCTTAATAAAGAATCTTATTCTTTCTATTCTATTTTCTCCCTTTACAGATTAATTACAAAGAACCATGAATGTTTTATCTAAAGTTAATTTAATAAGACTTGATTGCTTGACAGTAATATATCAAAACAGCTTTTTATTGTTCAAATTCATTATTTTGGATCTTAAATACATCAAATGAATCTACTTGAGTCAATGATTTTATCACGTATGCCAACCACTGCGCAGCCCTGCTCCAACATCCATAAATGGAAACTATCACAACTTGAAGGGCATCTTCCATGTTAAACACATGTTGAAGGCCTTATATTGTAACAGGTCTCTAAACTTTTGTGTTTTCTTTATAAAAAAAAAGATATTTGAGAGAAAAAAAAGTGCTATTACTGTTCCAACTAGGCTCTCCTAGCTCTAAAACAGCACCTCTTGCTGGAAACCGGAAGTGTCGTCGCTCAAGGAAAATGTTCCTGACTCAACTCCAACAAAAGGATTTCAAGCAGCATAAAGTTCCAGATTGTGAATACAAATATATATTTATGTTAAATACTGAAGATGCACAGCCATATGAAAGTTAATTTTGAAATCAGCACGAATGTACTATTTTTATGAAACAAACAGCTACTAGTGGCCACAAGAGGTGGGAGCGAGATGAAACAAAAACAAAATATGTAAAGGTGATATTGAGCGCTGGAGTGTTACCACTTCGCTGCCATATTGGATGGGTCCCTCACTCTTCAAAACCTATTTGGAGTCAGTCAACACTTAGTGAACAACTATACCTGTTTTTGTGCAGTCAATGGTTCAAAAAACCGGCGTACTAGTGAAAACAGTTTATGTGAGATACCATTGACTTTTCTAGCCCAGTGAATGCACTGGGGGCGACTGGTGACCCCTCCAACATGGCGACCTGCGGTTACACCAGCATATGTTCTTCATATGATCTGATCTCCATTCTTCTCATGTTCATTTTCTGCTGTGGAACTCGATCAACACGATGTCCAAACAGGAGTTTGTACAACCCCATCATACACAAACATAATGGGCTTGACACACGGGTGGCGACATCGCACGTGAGAGCCATTTTAACTTAGGTTTATGTTTATGTATTTAGCAGGCGCTTTTGTCCAAAGCGACTTACAAGATAATCGGCATGTTGCCCTTGAGGCTAACAACAATAACAACAACAAACAATTTCCGGTCAGTCGTAGATGGCGGTGAGGCAGCATGATTCATGGAGAGGAGGGAACAAGGAGTGGACAGTAGAGAGGGGGACAGATGCAGGGAGGGTGCTAGTTTAGAAGATGCTCTCTGAAGAGCAGGGTCTTCAGGAGTTTCTTGAAAATCGAGGTAGTAGTTACTGTTTTTCAACACTAGATGGAGGAAAAACCACTGAATTACTGAACAGGTCACTGTCTCCACCTCCATTCATTTTCAATGAGGATTGCACAACTAACGTCACTGGCTTTTGCCGCTGGCTGCTGCCACATGCCGCCTCACGTTTGTCAGATTATCAAGGAAACAGCAAACATTTTTGCTGATTGCAGCTGTTTGTCGCCTCCCGTGTGTCAAGCCCATTAACTATTGTTAAACCAGTTCAATCGGTGTGATCTCAGCAACTAAAAATAATCAGAAAGAAGAACATCTTCCTCTAAGTTTTCCTTGAGGTTTGTAATGACTGAGTCTCATGACTCCAACCAAAGTAACGTACTGATCTTAGATTATGTTTTTCTACCATATTAGAGAACATTAAAGATGCTCTTTAGTCTTTAACATAATTTCCCCATCCAGAGATTGGGTATGAAGCCCTAATAAGTGAGACGAGGCACATAAGATCACGGTTCAAATGAACACCAGGCAACCCGGTGTAGCGTTTTGAATGTGGCTACATATTAAATTAAATGATCAATAAGATTTGATATTCCATATAAATATGAATTATCAATCTGATTGGTCTTTGAATATTTGATTTAATATCACCTTAAATTCTTTGACTATTCAGAGAACACACACTTCATATTAATTCAGACAAGAGTCAAGGATATAGTTTATAAAAATTAATTTTATTTTATTTTTATACAGGTCCTTCTCAAAAAATTAGCATATTGTTATAAAGTTCAGTATTGTCTGTAATGTACTAATAAACATCAGACTTTCATATACATTAGATTCATTACACTCAGCTGAAGTAGTTCAAGCCATTTATTGTTTCTAATATTGATGATTTTGGCATACAGCTCATGAAAACCCAAAATTCCTATCTCAAAAAATTTGCATATCATGAAATGGTTCTCTAAACGAGCTATTAGCCTAATCATTTGAATCAACTAATTCACTCTAAACACCTGCAAAAGATTCCTGAGGCTTTTAAAAACTCCCAGCTTGGTTCATTGCTCGAAAACGCAATCATGGGTAATACTGCCGACCTGACTGCTGTCCACAAGGCCTTCATTGACACCCTCAAGCAAGAGGGTAAGACACAGAAAGAAATTTCTGAACGAATAGGCTGTTCCCAGAGTGCTGTATCAAGGCACCTCAGTGGGAAGTCTGTGGGAAGGAAAAAGTGTGGCAGAAAACGCTGCACAACGACAAGAGGTGACCGGACCCCGAGGAACATTGTGGAGAAGGACAGATTCCAGACCTTGGGGGACCTGCGGAAGCAGCGGACCGAGTCTGGAGCAGAGACATCCAGAGCCACCGTGTACAGGCGTGTGCAGGAAATGGGCTACAGGTGCCGCATTCCCCAGGTCAAGCCACTTTTGAACCAGAAACAGCGGCAGAAGCGCCTGACCTGAACTACAGAGGAGCAGCACTGGACTGTTGCTCAGTGGTCCAAAGTACTTTTTTCGGATGAAAGCAAATGTTGCATGTCATTCGGAAATGAAGGTGCCAGAGTCTGGAGGAAGACTGGGCAGAGGGAAATAACAAAATGCCTGAAGTCCAGTGTCAAATACCCACAGTCAGTGATGGTCTGGGGTGCCATGTCAGCTGCTGGTGTTGGTCCACTGTGTTTTATCAAGGGCAGGGTCAATGCAGCTAGCTATCAGGAGATTTTGGAGCACTTCATGCTTCCATCTGCTGAAAAGCTTTATGGAGATGAAGATTTCATTTTTCAGCACGACCTGGCACCTGCTCACAGTGCCAAAACCACTGGTAAATGGTTCACTGACCATGGTATTACTGTGCTCAACTGTCCTGCCAACTCTCCTGACCTGAACCCCAGAGAGAATCTGTGGGATATTGTGAAGAGAAAGTTGAGAGAAGCAAGACCCAACACTCTGGATGAGCTTAAGGCCGCTATCGAAGCATCTTGGGCCTCCATAACACCTCAGCAGTGCCACAGGCTGATTGCCTCCATGCCACGTAGCATTGAAGCAATCATTTCTGCAAAAGGATTCCTGACCAAGTATCGAATGCATAACTGAACATAATTATTTGAAGGTTGACTTTTTTGTATTAAAAAGACTTTTCATTTATTGGTCGGATGAAATATGCAAATTTTTTGAGATAAGAATTTTGGATTTTCATGAGCTGTATGCCAAAATCATCAATATTAGAAACAATAAAAGGCTTGAACTACTTCAGTAGCTGCCATCTTAAAGGGACTTTACGGAGTTTTGAATTTTTATGTTCGCGATTGCCCCCTCAGGCCAAAAGCGTAACGGCAGCTTCATTAGGAGGCTCGTGCACAAGGCGCGCATGCTGTACGTGCACACTCCTTAACGAAAATAACAGCTGAGACAAAGCTCTGTGAAGCTGACAGTTCCTTGTGTTTGTGTGTGTGGCCTGGAGGACAGAGGACAGGACAGTAATTTGGTTCTGTACCTTTCTCTTCAGCACAGCTGACAAAGGTTTAAGATGGGTCAGTTCTCCTGCATGCTCAGATAATTCCCTTCCCTTGCTTAAAAAAATTGTTCCAAAATGAAAGTTGAACCCACATCTTTTTTATCTGTGAATTGAATGCCGTTGGGCGAGTCTCAAATAAAAATTTGGGCATCTTACTGTAAAAAATATATCATTAATGTAAAAAAGAAACTCTAAAACAACGTCTTCTGTATCTGTAACATTTATAACCTTGATCACAGCTGAAACAACGTTCAAAGAACGGCTCGGAGGGCTTTGCCTGAGCGTGAATGCGCATGAAGCAGCCCGCTCGACCCGAGCAGCTCTTTTTCTGTGATTTTACAGAAAAATGGGCAATCACAATAAAAATGCCAGGGCTCATTCTACAGGACCAGGGCATTGCAGGAGAATGTATTAAGAAGAAATTTATTATTTCTATACATGTTTTGGCTGTCAAACTTCCATAATGCCCTTTGAACAAAGCAACAAAGTTTTTGTGTGATATGCTCGTCAGCCACTAGATGGTGCCATCGAATAAGAGAAATGCTCTGGAAAGAAGCTTTAACAGAGCTGCAAACATGACCTTTAAATAATTCTTCCTTATCAAAGTGGTTTTACCTTCTCTCTGCTCTTTGCAGACTCAGGAATGATGAGCAGAAATCAGACTGGCAAAAGAGAAACTGTTTAACTCCAGAGCTTCAAAATAAAATGTGTATAAATGGTCCCCTGCTAAGACGAGTGTCCACATAAAGAACAGGGGCCCAACTAAACTAAAACTCAACTTAAGCTCATCAAATAATTAACAATGTCAAATCATTTTCTGACCTATTGTGTAAGTACAGCTGAACGCAATTCCTGCTTTATAAATCACTCTTCGTGGAAAAGTATGCAGGTGTTTTTGGATCACATCCCATCTCCTACACACCCACTTTCTGCCATTAATGGTCATTGCAAAGCACCTTATGAGTATTCAGCATTTAAATAGCCCGACTGACCTGTGGCACGTCATGGGTAACCAAGGCAACTGAGAGATCTAGAAAAGGCAATTTCACTGAGACTGAAGTCATGGTGCTTGTGATTGACGTAGGTGCGTGTGTGTGGGTCTACAAGTCTGTAAATGTAGCTTAAATTCACCACGTTACAATCTCACTTATTGTGCTTAAGTTTCCCTTCCTCAAAATGTGCTTACACAAGGATCAAGTATGCTTAAAGTTGTGCACATTTTCCCATCAAGTTTGCACAGAATTCGGAACCTTGCAGTCACAAACTGAAAGCTAACAATCATATAGTGAATTATTTTTGCTTTATTTGTTTATGCAGGTTGCCATGGTAGCAGTTCCAATGGAAAGGCCCAAACCATCCTCTCCCCAGAAACCTCCACCAGATTAGTAGGACCCCAAGGGATCAACCCTGGGGCATCCTGCTGGCAAAGGATTCCTGAAAAACCTTGTTTCAGGAAGAATTCTGACCAAATGCCCAAACCACTGCAACTGGATGTGCAGGAGCAGCTGCTCCTCGTGATTTTTATCTTGAGAGGCGCTATAGAAATTATATTTTCTTCTTCTTCTCTACTCCAAGTCACCATCTCTAAAGCTAAACCCAGCCACCACATGAAGGAAAATGTTTTTGGCCACTTGCATCGATCTTGTTTTTCATCATTACCCAAAGCTCATGACCACAGAGCTGCAAAGTTGTCCACATTTGCTGCCACTAAAATAAAGTCCAATTAATAAAAGTCAATCACGGTAAAGTAGATGGTAAATGTACTCGTTTTTCAACTGGTGTCACGGAAATGATGAAATCCCTGAACGTTTGAATGAAAACTTTTAATATTTTCCAGGAAGACATTCCTACAGCTTAAACTTCTGTCCTGTGTTTTGTGGCATGTGATCCTGGAAAAACAGGTCAGCATAGTTTAGGATGTGGTCGACGGCACTGAGCAGCAGAACATCAGTGTTCACATCCAGGTCCAGTTCTGAGGAGTAGTTCTTCACTGGAACGATGTAGGAGGTGGACATTCCCAACAGAGCTCCGGCTTTACTCATCTGCAAACACAGAACTGAGCGTCTCTTAGAAAACTGTTAGAAGTTTCAGGAACAGAACTACACGTGTCCCGTTTCAACTCACCGTCTCTTTAATGCTCAGACTTCTGTAGACCTCACTCACATCTCTGGCCGTTTTTGGACAAACTTTGTCGACGTGGGTCAGCAGAGCCACCTGGTGAACACCTGAAAGAGCAAAATTATTCTTTTGTTGTAAGAAAAGGAAACACGGAAAAATCAAATCTACAAACGAGGCTGCTAAACAGAGCAGGTCCAGTCAGGTTTAGCTTGTAGAGTTAAAAATGGAGCACTGAGTGTTTGTTAGTTAAATCTAATTGCAAAACAGGGTTCTGGTTACCACAGACCTGTCTGAATGTGTTTGTGTTTACTCACAGAGGTCACTGATGTGCTCCCTGAGCTGTTTGAAGGTGGAGCCGAGCCCTTTGGAGTAGGATGTGATTCTGGAGGCGTCCACCACAAAAGCCACACAGTGGATTTTCTCCTTGAGGCTGGGACTCTTCACATAACCATCAGTTTCTGAGACCACAGGCTGACCTGGGCTAAACTGAGAAGGAGGAATGCAGAGATGGGTGTGGCTGATTTGGAGTGTTGGTAAAAATGACTTTTCTGGCCTCTGCAGAACTCAACGTGTCGGGAAGATCATGTAAATATTTAACTTGGAACATGGAAACATATAAAACATGAAGGACAGTGATCATTAAAGATGTGAATATTAGATTAGATTATAGACTATATAAAATATCAGCTGGAAACCAAGAAGAACCATTCAGAAACCAGTCGAAATCCATCTTGCAGGACAAACTGAGCAATAAACCCACAATGAGATACTTCTGCAGCTTTTTGTAGTTCGACAGATTCCCAACCTGATCTAGCCCCTGATTTTAGGTTTCAGTTTCACACCAGTAGCTTGTTTTCAAGGCCGGATTATAATATAGGCAAACTGGGCACAGGCCCAGGGGCCCACAGCCACAAGGGGGCCCACGCAAGCAGCAGTCTTTTTATTTTTTTGTGCAGCAGTCTTAACGTTGGAGAAAAATGTTGAGAAGTGATTACAATTGCGCCCACATTTTCTAAGTTAATACACATTTCTTTTGACAACTGTAGTTTTTGCATCTTTACTGTTCTTGCTTCAGCCCTCTCCCCCTGCACAGCCACCACAAACTCCTCCATGCGCCTGCAGCCTCTCAGAGTTCATGCTGCTCTAAATATTGAAAGAATCATTTAATTTTCTGTTCCTCACTTCTGATTACCTTCAGCGGTGTCTGTTGCAACCACCAGGTACAAAAACAAACTTTTTACTTCTGTCCTGTCTGTTCATCATCTTCCTGCATCTCCTCTCAGTCCTAAAGAAAAACTGTTACATGGTTCATATATATACACCTCATGAGTTACCTTTGAACTGCAGTTAAAAAAGATCTACCGACCGCAAAAATAGTAGAGTGCGCGCTGCTCGCCGGCCGCACTGGTGAGGTGAAATCACCGGAGGACAAAACAGGTTATGCGCTCCGCAGCAGTAAAACGCATCAGGCACAAATAAAAGACAGAAAACATAAAAGGATATGAGCCGACACAAACGATCGCGTGGGTAAATTTGCTTTTGAGGTGGCGACACTTTGAGAATGTTACTGTAGCCGTGCTCAGGACGCATCTGTCTGGAGCGCGTCAACGATCAGAGCTCTGCGCCTCTCAGCTCTAAATAATCCCAGCAGAGTCCACATGAATAATGTAATATAAATAGAACCATGATAGTTTATGGGCTAAAAAATAGTCTACAGTCCATCTTCCCTAATGTGTTTGTGGCCCTGTGGATTTTTCTAACTACCTGCACTTCTTATAGGTACCTCTCACCGTTCATAAGGGTACCGCACCATCAGCTACGTCAGCCCAGACAAGAGCAGAGAAAATAGAGACAGAATAGAAGAAAATTCTGTCTGGATGTGGATGGAGATGACCTTTTACATCAGCCTGATCATCATTTAAATACATAAACCATCACCTGTCTTCTAGTCCACGCCATCAGCACTATTTTAATTGGTGTGTGAGCGTTTGTGTTTGCGTGTGTGTGTGTGTTTTCCAGTTCAAACACTGTTCTAACCAACCAGACCAGCGTGTCCAGTAACATATTAATGTTACAATTAAACAGTTTCACTTCATGTAGGCTAGGAACATTTCCCCTGCCGTGGCCCGACCGCTTCTGCTCCACATAAACTTCGTGCGTGATCAAATGTCTCTACAGGATCTTTCTGAGCTGAAGAGGCTATTCTACCTCAGACTGGATGCGTCATGCGTCTCCATATTAGAGACGGGAACAAGCGCTGTTCAGCCAAAGTTTCATAATCAGCGATCATTTTTCCAAGTGACACATCCCTCAGAGAGACCAGGTTTCCAGACCGCTTCAGTGGGAGGAAATCTTACCGCACCGCTGTGGTTCTGCGCTGCGAAACCCTCTACAGATCTTCAACCCACTGTTCACCGTGTGCGCTCCAATCCGCGCTGAGCACAGTGTCCAGTATAAAGCTCTGATGTTCTGATGGGAATCTTTTCTTGATTGATTTAGTTACCTCCGTGATGTGTGTTAACGATTAAAGCAGCTCATCTGTGTGTGCATCAGTGTGCGTCGGGGTAATTCTTAAAAAAAAAATCCTTGAGTTTATCCGTCAAAATAAACAGTCAAATGGAAATATCTGTAACCTGCCATTTAACTGTTTTGCCTTCTTGTGAAGATTGTTGCAAAGAGAAACAATTAAAACTTTATTAACCCCAGAGCCAAGTGCACTGCGCTGTACTCTGCGACTGTAAACGAGGGGAAAAACGATTTAATCGGATCCTTTTACCTTTTCAACATGGTTTAATGTAAAATTTCATTGAGTACAAACTTTAGTCGCACCAATCTAACGAGACAGAGCCTGGATTTGTATTCTGAACAGTTTAAACATGTTTAAAACGGAGACATGCGTGACGCGTCTAAAATTTGCACCTGCTCCGCTATTATGGAAATTAAACTAACAAGACGAATAACATAATTATTTTAGGTAAGACAACATCCCCCACACTTTTGAAAAGCTTGCAACGCACCTGCTACCAGTTACAAATTGTGAAGGGGAACGATCATTTTCACAAATGGCAAGAATAAAAAATGAACTGAGAACTACACAAACTCAACAGCGCCTCAGTGCCGTGCACTGTCACTGATGGCTACTGAATCTCAGCTTGTCAGGAATCTGGACTTTGATGATACTGTCTATGAATTTACTAATAGAAAGGCCAGAAAGCATTTTCTCTGAAGGCAAGAGAGGAGACCAACAAGAGGAAACAAAAAGAGGATGAAGGAGACAGAAGACAAGAGGACGAAGGAGACAGGAGACAAGATGAGAAAGAAAACAGGAGACAAGAGGAGACAGGAGACAAACAAAAAACATGCAGATATTCAACCCTTGTATCAACATAAGTAAGCGAGTTTTAATATTGACAATGTTATGAAATGTCTAAAAAGTGCTTCTGCGTGGCAGTAATGTTGGGGAAGGCCGGGTGGGGTGGGCCCTAAGCACATTGTGCCCAGGGGCCCCTGCAATGATAATCCCGCCCTGCTAGTTTTAATCGTGCGGAGAAAGTTTATTAAATTTTAAAAAATATGCTACAACTCCACCCTCTGATGCTCTCACCTTGTGTCCTTCGGGGACGTGTCCTTTAATGACTGACAGGATGTCATGAAGGGTCAGCCCGCTCACCTCCCCATCACCCAGACCCGGTATATCACACAGTACCAGCCCAGTGTTCTCCTCCCTCTTCTGAGTGTGTATGCTGAAGGACTGCAGCTGACACATAAAACACAAGTTACCCAAGCGGCAGGCTTTTAAATCAGCAAATAAATCATTCAGAAAATGTAAAAGTTCAACAAGTTTTTGATCCAGCATTTGTGCATTTTTTAATTTTTTATTTAGGCTGAAACCCTTTTATTAGCAGGGATTTGTCTTCAGGCCCAAAAAAAGCTTAAATAATCCAGCCGTACCTTTTTGGTGAAGCTGGTGGGGAAGAACGAGCCCACCATGGCCCGGTTGCTGACTCTCCCATTAAAGAGCGACTGGACCGAACTGATGAAGCTGGACTTTCCAGAATGAAGCGGGCCGAGGAGCAGAACCCGAGCCTGTGGCACCTCCTCACATTTGGGTCTGTAGGAGCTCACGGTCTTCATCAGAGTCGTCTTCTGCCTGGAAAGGAAATGTAACATTCATCAGAGGAGAAAAGTTAGTTTAATAGTTGTTGATTGGAGCTGACTCACTCTTCTGTCCACTGCACATCCCTCCAGGCCGAGTCCAGCCCTTGTGGAAATGTAGACAATACTAAAGGAATTTAAGGGAGAATTGTTTCATTATAGAAAAACAAAAGTGTACATCTGCAGACGTGCAACAAAAATCTTGTTTACCTGGGATTTCTTCAGGTTTTTTTTATCACCTTCATTTTGATTTCTCCAGGAGAATTTAGGCTGGCTGCTCAGAGAGAACAGCGCGGCGGGCTGGGTGGAAGGCTGGCCGGTGGAAGCTGTGGGAAAGCTGAAGACTGGTGGAGCTATAGTAGTTTGAGCTCCAGTG